TTAAAATGATCATTTTTAGTTTCTCAACTTTTAATATATGTATATTTTTCGTCCATCCACTTTAAATTAAGGGACTAATAATGTGTATATTTAGATAAATTCAACAAAATAATTGATAGAAAGACTAAAAAAATGAAAAATGGATTAAAAAAGTACATAAAAAAGTTAAAAGATAAAAATTATATATGACATTAAATTTGAGGTTCAAAAATGAAATTTACCCTTTTAAATTTGAATTGAGTTATACAGACAACTTATGTGTATTGCCGTTGCAGGGTATGAAGAGCCCTTAGCCCAAAACGACGTCGTTTTGGGTTAGGGAATCCTTTTTTTTTATTAATTTGCAGTGTGTTCCGGCCAAAATTTGGATGAACCGACCGATACATCGAAATTTTGACCGGTACATCAGATTTTGACTGAAATGACCGAATTTTAACTAAAATAAAAATTAATATTATATCATTTCAGTCAACTTTTAAAATTGATACGTATCGACCATACCAGTCAATACGGTATGATTTTGACTTTTTTCATCAAAGAAAAACAAAGAAACCTCCATCACTGCACGAAACCAAAATGCTACAATTCATTACATTGATTCCAATGATAGTGTTGTTGAGATGACTCATGGTTTGATGATAAAGAAGTCAAAAGATCCCTAAGTTCCGGCTAATGGCTAAGGTTACCAGTTAGTAACAATCACCTCCCATGCATGGTTCGCCTGTTAGAGCCCCATATATGGGATGCTCTTCTCCCCTCCCCAACCTGAAAAATGTGCTACTTGTCCTCTTTCAAAAAGGAAAAAGGAGACAGAGAAGCCAAACATGAATAATCCCAAATGGAACTAGCATAAAGTTAGGATCCATTTTCCCCATTGACATTCAGTATATTCACATTAAGAAATAATATAATTTAATATGATATAAAATTTTATGTATACAATGTATATAATATAATAAATAAATTTTTAAATAAAAATAATTATTCATAGAATAATACGTGATAATTGTTATTAATCATGTTATAAATTTTAATTTTTTTAATTTAAAATTGGGTGAGGTTCAAATGTCAGGTGGTCATTTTTATGCTTACATGATTCTTGCAACGCTTAGATGACACTTACAGGGCATGAATTAGCGAAGCAGCCACGGACATGTTACTCGTTTATTCGCCTCCGTCAATTTTGTTTCGTCTCTTGGTTGTATTTCTCCCAAAGACGAGCTGTTGAAGGGTGAAAACACTCAACAACAATAAGTTTGAAGGCCCGAAGAGGGTTAAGCCCTTTTTGATCCATTTCTTTCCCAAAAGATCTGAAAAGCTGGAAGGGCTGTTTGATAGATCGTTAAATCTTTTTGTATTTGGTAAAAATTTAGTATAGATAAAATTATAAAAGAAATTATTAAATGGATTTCACATATGAAAAGTTTAAAAGAAAATTTTTTTAAGTGTAAAAATTTTTTTTATTGATTGAGAATTATATCATAAAAAGTAAAAATTAAAAATATCACTTTTGTTATTCTTTTACTATAATATTAAAATAAAAGCATATATAAATAATTTTATAAAAGAAAAAACTGAGGAAAACTTCCCTTCCAAAGCAAGTATGCTCGAAAGTCTAAGGTTGTGTTTGAAATTAATTTTTTTTTGTACTTTTTCACGTAATATTTTATTAAAATATTAATTTATTATGTTTAAATTAATTTTA